AAGACGCTGTAAGTGGATAGAACACACATTGAGGAAATCATCAAACTGCATGACGAGGCAAGCGTTAACTTGAGCTGCTGGAGGGAAACAGAAAAGAGGAAAGCCAAAGAACACACTGCTTCTGGTATTGGAAGCAGATATGAAAGAGATGAATAACAACTGGAAAGGATTTTCCATGCCAGGGTTGGATGAAAAGTGCTGGTGGCCGGCCTGTTCTGCTGAATTATGAGTAACAGGCTTAAGTATGTGAGTATTCTGGTTAATTTCATAAATATTATTAGTATGGATTAAGTTTTTTTAGTTTGTGAATCTTGTCAAACTAGACTATTTTTGACTCAAAATATCTAGTTTACTTTTACTTCAACTTTACTTCAACAAATGAAACGTGAATTCACAATGTAATAATGAATGTTTTTTAATGGGCATTGTTTGTTACTTTTCTGTATACAAACTATTTAAATTTTTCTCTAACTTCTATTGAATTACCGTACTTGATTTTATCCAAACCATCTTGATGTTGATGGAAAACTGTGTGCTCATGCATGAATAATTTTAATCGATAATTCTTGGTGTTTTTGTCCTATATCTTGGCCAGTGGCACTCAACCATGTAGAGTATGAGGCATTTTTTAATCGATAAAGTCGAAAAACGATCCCAGAGATATAATGTCTAAGCGCTCACAAAAAAACGCAGTCTCTTTTGCGATTGCGAGTGAGGTTAAGAATGCGCACTGCTGGGTATTTCCATACTAGAGCGAGATGACTATTCAATGCTTTCTACTTTTCAATAGTTTTCTAAGGTCAGTTCGTAATGTAAACCGTAATGGTAAAACTTGTAATAATTTTACGAATTAGGTTAACACTGATGTATGGGATAAAATACAAGACAGAAAGAGAAAATTTTAGTGAAAATGGAAGACGCATAGATATCAAACGAAATTAAGATTCTTTTTTCTAGTCGTTCTGTAATTGCCTTTGAAATATTTTGGATAACCGTTCCCACGTTAGCAACGTTCAACTATCATTAACACCTCCTTAATTTTATCCTCAGAGTATAACTTGCGTACACGGTTAAATAGCGTTCTAATCAAAGCTTTTTTGTAGCCTATAGGACAGAAGCTGTGGAAGTACAAGTATAACCCATCACTTATGTCCTTTCGATAAATATATCTTTTTCATCGGTTACTAGTATTACGTTTAGTACTAAGATCTCAAAAATGAAACATGTTATCATGTTCACCTTCCATTGGAAATCTAATGTTAGGATTTTCTCTGTTGAAAAGTTCCAGTATACAAGAAGGATGTTGAAAATGATTACATACAAAAAAATGTGTCGTACACATACGTGACATACAACGTAGCGTCATTAACTGTCGATTTCACAACTGTTTGTTCTAGGTTCGACATAAACAAGTCTCTCGATATTAAACCCAGAGGACTCTCCATAATCACTCTATAAACTCGACGGTACAATATATTGTTGAATTGAAATTGAACATTTTCAGTGCACATCAGTAGTGGTTGCTTAAGTTCGTCTTTTGCTAAGGGAATTAGGTCAGCGTATTGACATTCATTACACGGTAATTGATTTTTATCAAAAAAAAAACTTTCTAGTCATAATACTCTAGCTTAAATTTACTACCGATGGCTAATAAGAATGTGATTTTTCTGTTTTCAGCTAGGTTGCTTTCGAAATTTATAAAAGCCACATCACATTTTTCTTTATGCCTGAAGATGGTGTCAATTCAAAACCAACAAGTCTCTGGAGTTAATCAACAATATTGATTTCACAGTTTGAGATTTAAAATATAATTTACTAATTTTGCTGTACTTAATTAATTTCCTCATTTAAACTTTATCCATTTCACTGAATGATAAATGATCTTTCTTGTATGAATTAAAACGAGATCAATTCAAAAATTCAAAATTTAAAGCTTTTTTAGTGGAATGTAAAACGGTACATAAATTTTACTGAAATCATTACAGAAAAGAAAAATTTCAATATTATAAACAAAATATATTTATGTAGCTACAGTTTTTAAAAAAAATTACAATTAGGCCAATGAATAGAGTTTTGTTGTATAAAATAAAAGAACAATTTTACTCTTACAATTTGTTTGGTTTCATATCTTTGTCTGAGTAAATACAACAACAACAAAAAAAGAACTATTTTTTAAGAGAAATTACTTATCAGAGAATTATCAATATTATTGGTTCAATAATTATCAAAAATTTTCTCAGATATTTTGTTTTAAACATCGATGATAATGTTAAATGATAAAGATTACTAATTGTCAAATGTAGACGTTAAAAAATATAAGTCATGCTACAGAATGTTAAAAATCGATGATGGAATAAATATTGATAAAATTTTAGATTATTATGAGTTCTTTCGATGGAGAAATTTATTCAGAATACTAGGTGATTTTTGTTAGGTCCGCTAAATATTAGGGATTATTGGACAACGGTTTCGTTCTATTATGAGACCACTGAGCAATATGTACACGTGGATCTGATAATGATAATACATAGGATATTTGTTTTGCGAAATGAACTCTTATGAATTCGTAACCGTCGGGATTTTTTCATGTTGAAAGCGAATTAGTCATAAATGATATTAAATAACCACCATGTTATACCACTAATTTATTAGACTTTTAGATATTTACAACCGGATGTCAACCAAGTGGGTCATTGATTAAGTTATCACCACTCCTTTGATATCGTGTGTGCACTGATGAGGAGTCACATGTTAGGACAGAACAGTTGTCTAATGATCTCTGGTACTTAGTGGTACTTCAACACTGAATTAACTCAATGAACAACTCCTCAGTACTAAAATATCTTTACTTACAATCAAAATTTGTTGTTAATGAACTTTACTTGTAGTTATCCCAAATTATTAGGCTCCGTCTAATATCAGATGTCTGAAGTTTCCATTACTCACTGAGTATACGTAAGTTAGCATCCCTGTAAATAACAACATCTCTTAAAACACTAATACCTTTTCACTAAAATCCACTGTAGTAACAAGATTGTTTGGTTAGAAAGATTGACGAATAAAAGAAATGATATTCCTAAGGCAGCTACTTCATAAAGATTAGATATTACTCTCAGCTTTATACTAGAAATCAGTCACCCTCTTTGATAACACTGAATCACAGTATTTAAAAACATTTCGAATGAGGTTGAATTTTAGATGTGTATTTGAGCAGTTAAAAATTCCGATCCTTTTCTTGAAATGATTAAAAGTGAACTATGATTTTCATCTATCATTTCCTTTAGGACGATTTTAGTTGTTTTTGAGGAACTTTAAAATGTTTCAATATCTGATTAAGTAATTTTTCGAGTGCTCTTTTGATGTACTGTTCCGACTCATGAATTAATCATTTATGGTACACACTTAGTTGTATTATATTATGCTCAACTCCTTGAGATTAGTTTCATAATTTATCTTTATCGGTTAATTAAGTCCTATCTTATGTCTAGGCTAAAATAAACTTTGTCACTGGGGTCGACTTAAGTCCCAGGTTTTTTCGATTGATCCTTACCTTTCTTCATAAAATTAAATCTAGTCAGAAATAACAAGACATATAGTATATATATATATATATATATATATATATATATATATATATATATTGTATGTGCATTTTTGAAAATCCCATAATATATCGTTCTTGGTGACTGGTATTACAACGATTCTGGTACCCGGATTGAAAAGAAAAAAATTTAAAATAGTTCGGTTATCTCAGTAATTCACTGTTGTATAACTCAGTCTCCACAAACATCGAATCAAAATTATATCATTAGTGACTTGCTTCTAAAGATCCTTTAAGGTTCTGTTATGACACTTTGACTATTAGAGTCGATGGAGTCAAAGACTGACTGAAATCGGAACCTTTAGTTAGTTGACTCGAACTTAGCCACCGAATTGCATTACACCTACCATGAAATCAATCTACTCAAATGTTTTCTGTTGCATCAAAATTGTTTTTATACTAGCTCAAAAACAGAATTTCTAACTTCTTTCTAACATGGCTCTATAATTTCAATGAAAAGACTGCGGTGAACCTTTTCAACTTACTTATTCCTAGACTAACAGCACTGTTCTGCATCAATATCAAGTATCGATATTCTGTACTCAATGATTTTATGCCATACGGGTGAGTTATACTTTATAGGCTTGCTTTTCAATGGAAATATCACCAAACACTGTGATGAGTTAAAAAACCATCAAATCTGAACTAAGATTAAGCTCTTCAACAGAGGGTTTGAACGTTAACTTCATTAAAATACTACCAGAATATCTTGGAAAAAAAACTATTTTCATAGTTGCGTATATATATAGCTTGCTTGTGAAGTCAAGCATGAACTGAACCTAAAATCAATATTTTCGTTTCTTTCGGTATTGCCTGAAAACAGAAAAAAAGGACACGAATCACCATACAAGCCAACTAATAGACAATTACCCAAACTTAATCAAGTGCACTACTGAAGAGTACCGTTCTTTAACAAAATGGCCATCCAGTGCTTCAAGGCTTTTAATGGTGGTTTAACATTCATCGATTCATTATCTCAATCAAAAAACTCAACAATCTTCACAACCCCATGCTGATAATTACCATGTGCTCACTAGTGACTTGATTCAAGATGGATTTCCTGAAGTTCTAGCGAGAAGCCGTAGTCAGTGATGCTAATCCGTGTCGAGTGTGGAGCAGTTACACATCAAGGACAATAGAAGATGATCGCACGATTTTGTGGATTGGTTGAAGTTAGACATAATCACCGATGAATGCCGGCTCAGTGGTCCGAAGTTTAGGCGTTCGCGTGGGACTAAAGGTCATGGGTCCGAGTCCAGCATACTGGATCGTGGATGCGCACTGATGAGGAGACCCATATTAGCACATAACAGTATTCCACTGCTTTCAGGTTATCAGTGGTGATCTAACATGATTGGTTCATGATTTCAATATAACTAAAAAATAACACTAAACAATCTTAACACTTTAAACGCCATTTTATTTATACATTGACACTCAGAAATATATTCTGACTGGAATATTTATATAAGAGATATAAAACGATACAATAGACGTGCGTGCACGCACGTACTTGAGTACTAGTATAACAAGCACATAAAGTACTAGGGGTACAAAAAATGGACTATCAGTTATTTTATAACATGAATAATATTGGTAGTAATAGTTTTAAAAATAGTAAGATTGTTATAAACATTATTCTGGTTTTTTTCATTATTTTCGAAGGACGTATGAGTACAAATACAGTATTTAGATTAAAACGTATGGAGGGAGTGTGTCTGTTGAAAGTTACAAGACATTAAGTGAGTCCAAAAAGGCAAATAACGACTATAATAAAAATAAAGAGAATGATAATGCGAGAGGTCATGAAAGAGGTAAACATAAAAAGACAACTAGACAGCGAAAGTGAAAAAAAACGAATTAGTCTTTTTAAGTTAGTAATCAAAACTATTTTGGTTCTTGAACATCTTCAGTTTAATCGTTTAAAATTATCTAGGAAACAAAAATGCTACTCTATTTCAAGGAAGTGATATTTAAGGATTAAAAATACTAATACTAGTGATCATAGTAATAATCGCTAGATATTTATTATAGTTATTATCAACATTCACACAATGATATACACTTGTTAAAATACATGTGTTTATTATCAGTGTAAAGCTGTTTACATAGGCGAGAAGTTTTCAACCTCCTTATATATTGATTGATTTCATCACTGGATACAAAAAGAGGAATTGATGAATTTACTTCAATCTTCGTAAAAGGTTTTGTATAAATTCCTTTAAAAAAAAAAGAAAAGCATATCAGAAAAAGGTAAATGTAAAAATAAATTATTGCCATGCAATTAAATGTTCATTATAAAGCTAAGTATATGACTCGTAATGAAACGCTTTGGTATTCATGAAGAACATGTGTAAAGCTTTATCTGTTAACTATCTTCAATGAAGTCTTGAATTGCGCTTTGCAGTAAAGTCCAGAAAGTCTTTTAAGGCATCAACTCAAAATGCACACGTGGGGACAAACACTGAGTATTTGTAACCGTAAATATCGACAATAAATATGATATAAAGTTTTCAAAATTCTCATGAAGACATTTGAGAAATAAACCAATTTCCTTTCACTTATCTTCATATTATTTCTTTACATTACTGTAATATAGGTTCTACAATTTAAAATTAACATTCATCGAATGATTGTCAGTTAACTAACGGTATGTAACTAGGTTTAACACCATCTAGAATCAGTCAGTCAGCTACAACGTAGGACAAGGAACAATTTACAATAGACATTAAAAGTTGGTAATAAGATTAATGAGAAATTAATCGACTGGTTACGTCACCATAAAAATGAGAATGGGTTTTATTCTAGCTCACTTAACGTTTTTATATAAAGGATACTGAATATAAGAAAGAAAGATTATATAAAAATAAAACATGATTATAAGTCATTTTAAAACATAAACGATTTGGGAATCCCAGTCTTCTATATTATTACTTGCACACCAATAAAACTAAGATCCGACTATTTGACCTCATTTTTGCCAATCATACCATAAGTAAACATGACAAGGAAACTCAGTTAGAAGGTACTGGAATATATGTTGTGATATTGAAAAAGCCTCTTTTTGCGAACCACTAAAACCCAATCAAATTCTTTTCATTGTGAAAGAACGTCAAAACAGTAAACAATTGCATCTACATTACATGTTAAAAATATGGATGACTAAATATAGCAACTAGAGACAAATTGGTCATATGGTATTCATGAAGTTCAAAATTTAAATAGATGAGTCAGTTTTCAGTCTTAGCTGAATACTTTCTGTTTAGTAAATAAAACTAGTTATACTACATAATTTAAATATCCCTATATCATTAAAGGGTACTACTATGTAGAAGAATATCTATTAAAGTTGAAGATTCATTGTTGTTTCTGGTTGCTTTATGATCAATAAATTCAAATTTCCGTTAATTCAAACTGTTATTCACAGAAGTAAGCTTATTATCATAAAATTTGGATAACTGTTGTCTATTCTTTTGAAACTGACTGTTTTCAAGCGAAGTTAAAAGTGTACATAGTAAAAAGACACTTGATATAGAAAGATTACCAAACACTATTTGTTACAATCGGGAGGGTAACAAACAATATTAATTTCATTTTTCAGTCGTCTATGAAATACAACCAAATTTTAGGTGGTCATTATATTAGTTATATCTGTTGACCATTGATAGTTCTGTTGATTGTATTGTATATCTATTATAATTTAATAAATTATGGATTGACTGATATTAAATACGACTCAATTCAATTTATACAATCCTTACCCTAAATAAATCGCTTAAAATTTAGTGTAATCAGATTTATTTTAAGGATAAAATAAATCTTTATCCATCGTCTTCGAGCTCTTACTTAAGTAATTTCACTCATGATTTCCAGCAAGTGATATTTTTACACAACTGTTGTATAACAGGATAGAGGTCCTTCATCTTATGAACTTTTCGAAATGTTAGATTTTGTTAAAGGTTTAGAGATAAGAACAGGCATCCAAATAACATTGATTAGTGAAAATTAATTATAAAAAAACATTTTAATTTGTTCAACAAAGTGGTTTCGTTTTTATTTCGTATTGAAGAATTGTTAATAAACAAATAAGTTTACAAGGTTTTTCTAACTATATGTGACCATCAGGTTTTGTGATGAACGCATGGACTTTAGGCTACTGAATAGACATTCAACCGTTTACATTTCTAACTTGAATCAGTTCACGACTTTTTGCAACTAAATTCAAATGCCATTGTTCAGTAAGTGTCTTACACTCGACATTACTTAACTCTTTCCGTCACGCTTTCTCATTAGAATTCATGAAATTACCGCTCGAAACTAGTCGTTGGAGACTTCAATCGGGTCGCACATGAGGATTACTGAGTAGTCATATATAAGTACAAAAGGTTTTCTATGGCGTCCTAGTTTTCACTAGTTATCTAACAATTATCAGTTCGTAATTTACGTCATAAAAGTCAACAACCCCTACAAATCTCTTCAACTAAGAATGCACATCTCCCATATTTTACTTCATTTAGAATTCTCGTTGGAAATTCTCTCAGATTATTATGGCTCAATCTATTATTTATTCTACTATGTGATCGAATTTAACCTCATTACATACAGTAAACGTACTAGTTACATACTATCCAACTGAAATTTATATTTTACTGAAAAATGTCATATTTTATTAAGTTATTTTCTGTAATCCTCTCACTATTTTTTGACATAATGAAAAGAACTTTTTTTCTTTTTCTTGAATAAATATGGGCACCAGTTTAAAAAAAACGAAATACTATGGTTACGAAACAAATTAAATAGTTTATAATATGATGATCAATAATTTTTGTATGATTTGTTTTTATTAATAGTTTAGATAATAATTATGTGTTGATTATGACTACATCTTTCCTTTGATGATGTTGTAAAATTAGTTAATGTGTAGTTCAATAAATACTGAGAGAGATGTTTTCATTTCAGATGACTAAGTAGAAAAATTTTAAATACATGAAATCACTTTTAAGAAATAATGCCTTATTAGAGTGTGGGATTCCTCAGCAGTGCGCGTCCATGACCCGCATATGGGATTCAAACCCAGTGCCTTAGGTCTCGGGCGCGAACGCCTAACCTCAAAACTACTGGTGCAAAGTGCTGAGGAGTCCCATCCAGTGCTTCTAGGCTTTTAACTTTGAAATAGCCACCAAATTAAACAAGATTGAAGTTCTTTTCAAGTCTTGTTAATGAATAAGTTGACTGGAATAGACAATATGGAAACCACTGGGCTTCAGTTTTGTTACGTAAAGGTATTTTTTGTCACGATTCCTTAAAATTTTCGGGTTTATAAGAGGCGAACGATAGGGGGTCCAGAGTAATATGGTGTATCAACGTCATTAAAGCTCAGTAAACCAACTGGGGGTCAAAATGATGAAACCATAAACTTCTCTCAACCATATCAGTTGGTTTGATGACTACAAATTCCAAGATATATTTGACAAATTTATGTCAAAATACATCTAAAGGTTATCAAATATCTGACAGATTTGAATATTTAATTTCTTAAACTCTAAATTTTGTCCATTATGGTGTTTCATAAGCGAATAACTCAGAAACGTAAGATCTCAAGATTTTCCAAGTATATAATAACTACAGTTAAAATGAATTACGAAAAATTTATTCTCTTAGCTTATCGGTCATAATATGAATATTATAGGTAGCATTTAGATGACATTAACGACTAGACATGTAAGACTGATTAATATAGATTGACATATTTGTAGTAATTCTACTGCGTAAAATTCATAAACTTAATAAAGGGACACTTTTTTTATGTAACTATATCTAAAATAAAACTTATTTCAAAGACTACACTGAGTAATTTAAAAATTACTTTTATATGCTAAATCCTCTCGGTCGATTTCCTTGAGATTTAACACTTGGATAAGTTTATCCAAATTTTACTCACTAGTCAATCTTAAGAATAAATAATCCATTATGCACACTTATGGCTAACACAAATAAGGCGAGAAATTGTAATGATTAAAATGTTAAATGCTTTTCTTCTATGAATGAACAAACAAACACTAGAAGCAAACACTTTTTAGGAGTTACAAATATAACATTATCTGACAACTTTCCAGAACATAAATACTTAGCATAATATTTTAATCATCTATGTGTTTTCATATTTCTATAAACAGAAAGCTTTCTTATAAGTTTTCTTAAAAACAAATGATCAAAAATCTCACGTATTTTTTATTTTTATCTATCAATTAGCATTAAATCTGATTTTTGTAAACATTCTAAAGCCTACTTTCTTTCGTGAACTTATATGAGGCTAGCCTCGTTATGTTTGAAAATCAGCTCATTTATTTTATAACCTTTACTTGATTCCACTAATGGCGACGAAAATGAAATATAATTCCTCATTTCATGTTGTACACGAATACTTAGGCTAATCACATTGTTAGTGTCAAATACGAAATGTGTTGAAAGCATTAATTTTAAATATTTATATGCAAGCAAAAGACAAAAAATGAGTGAATAGATAAAACTTTGGAGTTGGTAACTCATGAACTCAAGAAAGCTAAGCTACAGTATTAATAAAAAATATTTCAGATATTATATTATGTTGTCGAGATATCTTTTATGCAGATTTATGTGTTAAAATGGACTGATTGTTCATTATGCTCTGTTTTACACAAATAAATAACACTTATAATTTGTAAGCATTTTTTATCTCAACTTTAAAAAGAAATATGATTTCATACCAAGATACGAATAAAGATAGTCGTGAAATAACGGTCAGTTAAATAATCAACCCTTAAAACTGTACTAAAGGTAATAATAACTTTTTTCGACCGAATAAAAAATGAGAAAACTCTGGGATCATTTGAAATAGGTATATTTCATGCTTCGGAATAGTAAACGCCAGACAAGCGATAAGTTATGCAGTTAGTGTGTAAAGCACTGGAGTTCGATAGTACACCAATCTAGAGTATCTTAAGCTGACTCCACTTTTATAAGTCATGTAAAAATGCAAGAAAGATAGATGCACAGAAGAACATATGTATGAGAAGTCTTGCAGATTACAAGTGAACTATTAATAGAATCAAATTTACAAAATAACAAGTAATATCCAAACCGTTTGTCTGTCCATGAACTAGGATAAACTCATGTGTGCGCTATAAAGGAAAAGTCACTATAATTGTAAAATAATGTGATGAAAAGCATCAATGTGAAGTATTCAAGCTATTTGATTTGTATTACTTTATAAACCAGCATGATTACCAAGTCAATTTAGATTGAATACATGTCCTAATTACGTCAGCTCCACGTTTATTAATAAACTATTAGAGGTGATCATTGATTAAATGGTAAAATAAGAGATTCTACTTGATATACAAAGAAATTTACAGAAAATGGAATTAAGCATAACTTTCGACACTAAACACCTTGAGAATACAGCAAATCAGATTAATGTCTCAGAAACTTCATTAATAATAAATGATGAAAAGGATATCAAAATTAAATTGTTGCTTAGGAATTACTTCTATGATAGATTTACTTTGAAATCAATGTATCCTACAAAAAATCTGTCGTCATTGGCTGAAATTTTCTGTTACTTAATTTTTGCTGTATTTTAAAATTTCCTGTCATTTATTTTTAAAATAAACAAGAAGTTCATCATAGCTGATATCGAATCAATTGTTATATCATATTTGGATTTAATCGGAATCTACTGCAGATGTCGTGAACACCCAAACATCCTTTATTGATAGTTGTTATTTGATATAACTTGAATAATAAATAATAAACATTCGTTGTTTTTAAAATGCATAGTTTTACAATAGAAGGCTGTCTCTACCATTTACAATTTTAAAAATATTCGTTGTAGGACATATTATTTGAATGGTTCTTGTATGCTCTACGTTTTACAAAGAAAATAGTTTGAAAATTTTATTAAAATAAACATTTTAACAAAATAGGTTTCTACCGATTTTTTTATCACCTACTGGCTCTGTTGGAGAGAATCACGGAAACCAAGTTGCACTGAACAAGTGTTACATTCTAACTTGAAGATTCCTCAATAAAGTACAATATTACCCAATAAGATATTGAACCAAGAATCTTTAGATCCCGTAACCAGTATGATATTTTTCGGGTGAATATTGAAATATATTTAGGTTACATTAGAGTAAATGTTCAACGGCCGTTTCAAGCCACGTAAAGATTAAAAGTAGCAAACGTTTTTAATAGGAGAACAGAATAAATGAAATGACACATGTTAACAGCAATACAAATTTCCCTCTATTTTGATTAAAATCCTTTGTATTACACATTTACAGTAACTTGTAACAATAAACAGTGAATTATTGATGACAAATATATAATACACTAGCAACGTTTTTGAGTTTTTCAAAACATTAAACAAACATTTGAGAATCAACAGGTTTTACTTATTTAATTATCTTCCCGTATGTGTCCGCCCTTGTCATTTTGAACTTATAATCGTACACACATTTAATATAGTCTCTATCATTCTAGTTCTAAAACGAGAATGGCAAGTTCACCTGATTTGTAAACTGAGTATGAATAAAAGATAAAATACTATAAAAAACATCATGTAATTCCATAAGGTAATACCAAAAGGTGCTAGATATGTTTATCAGTAATTTGACATTAAAAAACGACATATTGTAGTGAACAGAACACGGGTGGGGCCAATCGAATGTATTTGACACGAAATTACAGAACTTGTTAATAAAATCTAACAATCATAAATTAAATACGTAATTTGCAAAATGTCCATCAGTTGTCTCATAAAGACTCAGACTTCATTGTTCTTGCAGTTTCATACAAATTGCATTCTGTTCCCATTCCTTACTGTTCGATCCTTTTATCTCTCTGCTGCCAGACATTTTGTTCTTGACTAACATCATAAAATACTTATGTCGATGTAAGTAGCACACACCACACTATCATGTTCAAACAGCTAAATAAAGTTCACATGCTGATATTGTTAGAAAAGTTTACTACCGTATAAAACATTATGCTGAAAGCAATTCCGTTCATTGAAATTTAAACGATTTCAGAGTTTCGTTAGTTAGACTAATCTAGGTCTTTCCAAATAACTACTTAAATTCTGATCGCTGAGATTATTTTGATTACGCTTTTTTACAAAAAGTCTTCCGTATATTCGATTTTCAACTCTTATTGAATCTTTTTTTAATTTGACGAATTTTCAGAAAAATTACACTAGCTTGTAATATTCCTGTAAATTGTTATGCCCATTTCCTAATATCTAGATTAGTCGGTTGTACCAATCTTTACCACTCGATGCCCAACATAAAATATTTCCAGTTAAAGAAATTCGAACAAAATTATTAGCCTTTCATTATTGTCATTATAATTAATACTATTATTATTGCTATTATTATTAATTGTGATCTAAGGTCACCATCCAGATCTTAATTGTATAACAAACGAAGAAACGATCAAACATAAGATGAAACGAAGACAAATACTTAACAGAATTTGAGGTCAACACAAGACTTTAAATAAAACAGACATTAATTTCTGTACTTAAACGTTCCACAAGACTTGAATAAACACTTATCTGGTGGAATGCATACAGTAAAACTATTATAAATTGATAAATCTGTGACCATTTTGTGTGGCTTTTGTGGCACAAACTCGCTCATACGCTTATTTTACAATTTGATTCAGAAGTTAGCGGAAGCAAGCCGTTTCCAGTTCTGCTATATAATACTGAACGCAAAATTTAGACTATGATTGTTCGTAGGAGTTTTAAATTTCTCTTGATGACATTTAAGACTGAAATGTGATCAGGTTTTTATCGTCAAATAATGAGCTTAGGCAAATAACCCAATATCACCGCGGAATTTTGTTATAGTGTATTTTGGATTGTAGCCAGCATTAAAGTTCAGGGCCTGCTGGGACCCTTATTCGAAGGCTCGTCAAATAGTTGCAACGGCGTCTCAGTGTTGATGTTCACACTTAGATCTTATCTCATATCCATTACTTAAAACCCTTTTATGTGACTTACTAAACTACTGAATATAAGTAGTCACCAACTTGTTCATATGGTGTGACAATTATTTGTGTTGTTTCGCCAGCCTCAATCCGTAATATCCCAAATATTGTGATATAAAAATAATATTCTGTATGCGTAAAATGGTCTAGAAAACGTCACTGACATACCAATGCTGTAACTAGCTCTTTTTAATCGAATATGAACTTAAGTTCTTACTGTAAAATTTCTGAAGAAAATATTAGCATGTAAGACGTAATTATTAGGTTGATATTTCGGCATACTGAATTCGTTTTGCACTCTTTACTGCAATGTTGTATCGAGCAGGCTGCAAGCACCAAGTAATAAAATGCGATACAAAAGCCTTTTAAATGAAGGTTTGTTATAAGGTTTTAACGGTCACACCATTTTTTAACTGATTTACAAATTATTCTGGTTTTGTATGCTAATTCAACATGTCTTCAAAAACCACACAAGGTTTTTGAGTGAAAATGTCTCGAAAGTTTAAGCAAAATTTAATTCATTATCAAATAATGGATTAGACATTTTTCTCATCTAGGTAATTAATTATGTAATGACGTCCTTTTAGTTAGAAATCTATCCAACTTCTCAGTCAAGAGCATAATTCTGTTGAAGTCATGTGAACTAAAATATCTATTACTTAAAATCTTGACAGTCAAATAAAAAGTAATATCTATAGTCGTTAAAGATGTCCTAATCGTAAATATTTTTTTAAAGTACAGTTAAAGCGGATTCTTGTGACTTTAAGAATAGCTAGAGCTTCGTATAAATTTTAGTTGGCTTTATGAACTCAATCCAAAATACACTACTATATACTTGGAAGCTTTTATGTATTTCTCAATCTTTAGTTATACATGAAATCACGACTTTTGGGACGCCTTGTTATTTGATTAATATTTTTGGAGTAAACCACAAAATAATTAAATTTGCTTCTTCCTGGCTTTTAGTCCAGTTTTTTATTTGGAGACTAATGATTCTTGCTAGTTAATAAAATTTAGTCTGTTACAGTATTGGACTAGTGGTAAAGTGGTTTAAGACGATGTATCATAGCCATAAGCTTACAGCTGTTCGCCTATTATTCATAAGTAATATTTCTGTCTTCAAAAAGTAACTGAATGTCACCTGAAACATTTATACATTTTAGAAAGCAAATAACTTGAATTAAGTGGGAGAGTTACTTTGTTTTGTTTGTTTCTACTAGTTAGGTCAGCAGATCTTCAAGTTACTTAATGCTATTCAAAAGCAGTTTTAGTTTCAGCAGCAAACGTCAAAATATTTACTGACTATATGAAGATAGATTCGTGAAACCTAACGCTTCTAAGTTCATTAACGTGTAGAATTATTCGTGAAAAACACATTTTTCTAGGTCAACTTCTACATCGCATATCGATTAGTCAGAATTAATATAGTAATCCTACCCCTCATACTATTGCACAAAGTTAAAGATAGTTCACAAGCGCAAAACAGGAAATCTCATCTGTCAGAAAATAACTAAACAGCATTGCAAATTTTTTACTGACTATAATAATCATGTCACATAAAATATTTTCCTCAGTCTCCAGCAACTAATTTTACGAAAATAGCAATGTCTTGTATATGCAGAACTCAAATAATGAGGCTTTCTTAGTCACAAAGTGTTCATATAGATTGGCTTACTTCCTCTTTCGTTACATCTGATTAATGTTTACGCCTAGGATACATTCAACTATATCTAACTTTATAATGGTCATTACATGGAAATTTCCAGAATGTTTTCAGCCTAATCCCTCTCCGATACGATGAGTAGACTTGTCTAAATATTGAACAGTAACCTATTTTACCTTAATTTATTGCTTATTTATTACTAATGTTATTCGGAATTCGAATTTTTGAAGAATGGACAATACAATAACCAAAAAGGCTAACAACTGGCGAACCATAGTCCAAGATATTGGACAAAAACGTCTATGACAACTAAAACGATGCAAATAGCTTCAAAATAACCTAAACTTGAATGACTAAAAACCCTAAGGTGATGCAAAGTAGTATAATAACGTGAAAATTATGACAAAACAAAAAATGATAGAAAAAGTGCTTACATCGATTTGCTCCTGTTTAGCTGGACAGGACTTTAGCTTTTCCTAGGCAAAACAATTTAGAACAAAAAATATATATTCAGTCACTTTCAAAGTTTGCACTTTCTCATCATTTGTCTTAAGATCACTTATTTCATCCAAATCGATATCACAATCGTAGTCATCGACCTTCAGGACCAGGTATGTCAGAAATTTCACACTGACCTCTGTGCAATAAAGAGTACGAAGGTGTTCGAAAACAAAGTTTTCGAGCCGAATTTTTTCGCTAATTTTCTGACGAGTCCTTCTATCGTACTTCGCAGTTAAATAACGTTTACGTTTTGAATGATCTGCAGGTGCATCAGCGGCAAAAACCACCTCCCGGTTGTCGCTTTTTTCAGAAAACCCATCACTGCTTTCCCCCAATTCCTTGCCTAAATTCATTACTTCAATCCATTTACATAGGTATATCGATAACACAAAACAATTACGAAAGGTTTGAGAACTTGTGTAAAACGTTTTGGAGTAATAAAACACAAATCAATGTACAACAAATTCACAAAGAACTAGGGTAGTCATTTTGTATTGTTGCACACAGTCTAGTCTTTCAAAAAGTTCTGATAGATTATATCATGCTTCCTTTGTTCTCTTTTATCACTTAATCGACTAGTTATTTTATAAGATCCATTTGCGAACATCTTAATGATGAGTTTGTTTGAAACATATGCTTTCGTTGTATTCGCTTCTCGGTGATAGGTTTAATTATTATACATACAAAACAAATAGCTAAGTATCAAAGGAACTCTGACAATGCGAAGTCATTTTCACATAACATCAAATCACATTTAAAGCGAAATACTTAAACATGGATAAAGGTCAGTTAGGAAGAATAGGACTGCATATCTTATTGAAAAATAGGTGAAGCACCAAGTAGCGACTGAAACATAATTGTCGTTGCTATAACAGCTTCATCGAAGATTGACGAAGATTATGCCATTTCTCTTTTCTGTCTTGTTGAGATTTATGGATTTGTATAGTGACACCTTCGAACTCACAGACCTATCAGTCATTGAGATGTATTTTACTCACAACAAGCTCTTACATTACTTTCGTTGCTACGGATCGGTGTTTCACACTTCTTTCAACTATATGAATGCTAACACTAAACGTTTAGTCGCGGATATTCATCCAAAGGATACATAGAGCCCGGCATTAACTCAACACGGATCTCTCAATGCACTTATCGTATAAGAAGATACAAAGAACATTTAAATATTCACTGAAGGATGTGCGGTGATTTATACAATCCCACAGTTTAGGTAAGCTATCGTGAATTTCGTCAGCGTTTCTGATAAGGACTCAAAGACATGTTTATGTTCGGTTTGCTAGATACAATTCATACTTCACCTACAAACTATATGAATAATCACAATAACTTAGATTGTTAGTTTATTAATATCTGAAAGGCAGTCCAAGTAAATATATACTTTACAAGCGAATGAATCAGATTATGTAAAAATAATATCATACTTTACTGCATATATATAGTTACTCTTGATCCCTTGCTCTGTTTTTGCCATTTTTCTTGTTATAGATTGATGAATGTTGCAAAAGATTGGATTGGAGTTGTAGTACTACTGGCCTTACTAATTGATGGTCTTTGTATTCCAGCAAACCACAGCCTAGGATGTTTGGGACACTACAAGTTAGATGCAATCCCCAATCATACTGGTCTCATGAGTTTAACTGAAGTTTTAGAAGTTCCTAAATATCTAGATGTGATAATAATAATAATATATTTCTGCATGAACAGGCACACGCCACTTTTACAGGCATGATCTATAAATTACAGCATTTGTTGTGACGCAGCATGCTTCCCAACTTATTAAGTTTATAGCTGTTATAAAGTAAACTCGTAGAGCGCTTGCTCTAAACCATGACCTTGAGGAGACGCGTACGTCAAGTTTGTTCCAGACGTTAGAATTTCCATAGCTGTGCCCTCAGACCAAGATTCTCAAGAGAAAAAAGCTAAACAGAAGTGCAGCAAGGCACTTGGATATGAACGCCAAACGTTGCTCAACATTTTGTAGTATAACAGACAGAGGTATAATAAATTAGATTAAATTCATATAATCTCTTATTAGAGTGAAGCGAAGTCAGAGGTTAAGATGAGAGAATGTACTAATAAAGAACAATGAGTTGTGATGTTTAACAAATTGGAGGAACTCAATGTTGGTACAGGGAAAGTTGTTTATTAGAAGGGAGTGTGCATATAGAGGGTGAAGTGTTAAAAACACTAATGACTATATCTTTTATTGTCTGATTTTTTATTTCTTATTTTGTCCATCCGAAGCCAGCCACACAATCCTAGTGTAAAAGTTCGAGTTAGCATGTTATAGGTTGTCTTAGTAAAATAGCTAGTCCAGCATAAAATTGGAAACACGAATCTGAGTGGTGAGTGTAGGAAAACAATCTATATCACAGATTGATTGCTCTGGTTGTAGTTTTTATTCACCATGTTTTACTGCGTTACACTGTACGTTCATATGTCATGTCATAGTAAGTTTAACCACATCACTGGCTGTTTTCGTCAGTGTATAATGTTATTGAAGAAGGGTTTGTTGTGTTGTAAACTATGTTCTTATGAGCAACTGACTGTTGTCTTTAGCCTCGAAACAATATCCTTTGTCTCCTGTTAGGTACTTTTGACTGGCCTATAGTTCGTGGTTTTGGTTTATCGGCTGAACTATGTATATTTAATTACTTTGAGTAACATGTCTGTGCAAATAAAACAATAATTATGACACTTGCTTAGTTTAGTATTCTTGGATGTCGCATAATTCAGTTTAGTCTACAGGATTATAATATACTTAAGTATAATGCTTGAAGCCTGTAACGAAACAGATCAGTTTAGTAAGTAGAGCTTCCTGTCTTTAATGAGCATGCTGATTCAAATCAGTCCGATTAAAAATAGGAGAAAGGTGCCTTTGATGCTGTTGCTGTCATACACGATAAGATAGCGATAAGTGTGTTTGGTGTTTATTTGTAGACTGTACGTCTATCACTGACCATATTTCAAGACCACTGCCACTAAACGATTTCCCCAGCGTTAACATTGGTAGCAGGATAGCTAAGTGTCTGTGCTTTTAGTTGCTTGTAAAACAGTAGTATACAGTCCTAGAAGAGAAGTGTCCTGTGTCTTAATTAAATGCAGCTGACTGTGGATAAATGTTAAGAACTGATAGCTGGGAGTACATCCACGTAAGTTTGAGATCTTCTATAGACTATGACCTCATATTCATCTGAAACATCTGAAGCATTATTGATGGCGCGGGGTAGTTACCCGTTCCATATGTGTTTTCCGTGGAATATCTTGAGATGGCTAAAAAAGAGGGTGACAAAAAGGATGGACGACAAGCAAAGCATACAATGTACATGCATATTGAAATCAAGTCATTTGCATTGAAATAGTGAAAGTATAACTACTAAGCCTGATTTTCTATTAATAAGGTACTTTTTAAACAAGAGCATTGTATGACACGACAAAGAAACTCTCTGGAAATCGCCGCAAACCAGAACGACCAGTGAAAAGCAAGGAAGGCGAGGTAATCACCAACATTGAAGAGCAACAAGACAGGTGGGTAGAACACTAAAAGCAGATGTAGCCGCAACTGCAAGGATACTCCACATTCTCTTCAATAAGATTTGGGATGAGGAACAAGTACCAGCAGACTGGAAAGAAGGACTCCTGATCAAAATACCGAAGAAAGGCGATCTCAGCAAGTGTGATAACTACATGGGCATCACTCTTCTCTCAATACCGGGAAAAGTCTTCAACAGGGTATTGTTAAACAGGATGAAAGATTGCGTAGACGCCCAACTTCGTGACCAACAGGCAGGATTCCGTAAGGATAGATCATGTACAGACCAAATCGCAACTCTACGGGTCATTGTGGAACAATCAATTGAATGGAATTCATCACTCTACATCAACTTCATTGACTACGAAAAGGCATTTGATAGCGTGGACAGAACAACACTATGGAAGAAATCTGGAAGAAGCGCTGGAAGTGGATAGGACACACATTGAGGAAAGCACCCAACTGCGTCACAAGACAAGCCCTCACATGGAATCCTGAAGGTCAAAGGAAAAGAGGAAGACCAAAGAACACATTACGCCGAGAAATGGAGATAGACACGAGAAAAATGAACAAGAATTGGATGGAACTAGAAAAGAAGGCCCAGGACAGAGTGGGTTGGAGAATGCTGGTTGGCAGCCTATGCTCCGTTGGGAGTAACAGGCGTAAGTAAGTAAGTAATTCCAATAGGTTAAAGAAAACAATCGTAAATATAGTATGAATGGACAAAGAACTGGATAAATGGAGGTGGTTCATAAGGGAACTGCAAGTATAGGATTATGTGAAGTTTTAAAATATAGCAGTAAAAACGGTATTCTGATACACAAATGTCTATCTCCCTCTTTTGTCGAAGCTAATACAGCTCATATTGAATTTTATTGGTTCTATAGGGTCATCAGCAAGCTTCATTTTTAGCGAATTGTCCAGTTTTGCTTGTCATAGGATTACTCGGTACGAAGTGAAACCAATTCAACGGCACAAGCACGATTTAAAAAAGGTATTTTGTATAGTAAATTAGCATTATTACCATTGGTTCGTGACATCCTACGTGATCATAAGGAGCCATAATTTTAAAAAATGTTCTGCACCACAGACATGGGTGGATCAAAGTTATTTCCTCACCATCATGTTTGCTGTTCAGTGACGCCACCCTCTCTCCTTTAGTGATGATAGGCTCTCCCACGTTCGTCGTATGTATGAGTATTGCTCTAATCTAAACTCCTTGTTCGAGTACGCTGTCTCTACTACTTCCGTGTTACAAGCAAATCAGATGGTTAAAGCTCCTGTATTGTGGGCTAGATATCCGTTTAGTATATCACTCTGCTATGACGATGACTAATGGTAAAAGCTAAAATACCCATGTCAGATTATATGTGGTTTAGAGATGGTAAAGATCGGCAGCAAATCAAGAATATGCAAGAGTTCAAAATTGTACAGTTTTCGCAGTAAGAAAACAACACATTGGGTGACCCACAAGAATTTAGGACACTTTGAGCTTCTTATGATCGGCCCTAGTTGATCAGCATCCATGAGATTAGTAATTTATTTGTCTACTTGTAATAGAAAGAAGAACATGACACTTAGGGAGATTAATACAATTTTAACCATTAGAGAGATTCGGAATCTGAAAGTAAGGAGTGAAAACATAAGGGTGTAACTAATAATCAATGAATAATGAGAGAGGGTAAACCATGTGTTTTATCATTTAGTTATATCGATATTAATGGTAATGGTGGTCTTTTATATTCATGATCGGTCTAGATATTAGACGGGCCACAATAAAGTGCCCCATTGGTGGTCGGAAGTTGATGAGGCTCTTTAGTGTCAAGTAATAGTGTTATTAGTCGTTTGAACTTGATGATAGTGTCACGGTTAAGGATTGG